TTTAGGGTTTAGGGTTCAAGGAAGATTCCATTTGAGCCGCAAGATTCCAGAGCGCAGAATATGTCAAAGCCTTCTGAGGATGCAAAATCATCGGATCCTGAATACAGAATTGTCAGGGAAGCATGTCCTTCTTCTAGCAAAAGGGTTTAGGGGTTTAGGGTTTGGGACCCTATGTGAATCCCCTACACTGATATCAAGGCCTTCAAAAAACCAAGCCATGGGCTTCTAGAAACCCACGATCAAGGAACCTTATGGAGAGCCCCCACACAGGAAACCCCAAGAATCTCGTAGGAATATAATCGGAACATACCTACCAGGCCCCTCCTATTCCTATCATATTCCTACTGTATCCCTACTAAATTCCCACTATATTCCTACTATGTCCCTGGAGTTCCCTATTTTGGGGGTTCTCATGAAAGTCTCCCAATTGCTTGGAGTGGCAATGTAGTGCTTGCCGTCCTCGGTCTTCTTCGCCGTTGCCTTGAGTTCAAAGGGGTGAGATATGGCCCTAAACCCTAAACCCTAAACCCTAAACCCTGGAATGTATGGGCCAAAGCAGTTTTACCAAGGCCATGGTCCTGTTTTCAAATTTGTTGGTAGGGGGGGGTACTTCAAACAGACCTCAACATGATATCCTAAACCCTAAACTCCAAACCCCCAGACCCCTAAACCCTAAAGTCCCAAGGTCCCACAATATGGTCGGCCTTTCCCCAAGCCCCTACACTTCATGAGCAGAAATGTACATCTCTGGGGTTTGGTGTTTGCCATGGGACCTTTTTGTGTCTAGGGTTTGGGGCTTAGGGTTAAAGGTTGAGATTTCAGCGTCTGAGGTTTAAGCTTTACTCTTCACTGCTCAGGGTGTATGGTTGTTTACTGCTACTTGGTTTCAGTCCCTAGGCTAGCATTCAGGATTCAGGATTAAGCTTCAGGGTTTAGGCCTTGGGGTTTCAGGTTTGGGGTTTAGGGAGACTTCATACGAACCTAAACAACTATCAACTGAAAGGATTGCTTCTTTTAGGGTTTAAGGCTTAGGGTTTAAGGGTTAAGGTTCAAGGTTTAGGGTTTAAGGTTTGGGGCTTAGGGTTTAAGGTTTAAGGGTTAGGGTTTAGGATTCATATAAGAGGTAAAGCCTGAACTGATGGTCTACCCCACATGGGGCGCCAGGGATACACGCCCATGAATATCTCCTCTCTTCCCCAATTACCAGGGCAAAGCAAGTTCAAGCTTTCTTGTAGAGACCCAAAAAGGAGGCTCAAAAAAGCTAAAGTTCTTCTATTGGCTAAGTAACTCTCTGAGGAAACCTACTTACACCCACCGAACCCCCTGAACAACCCCGAGCAGACCAAACCCTCAACCCGCAAGGGTTTTGGGTTTAGGGGTGTAGGTTTAGGGGTTTAAGGTTTAGGGTTTAGGGGTTCCAGGTTTAGGGCTTAAGGTTTAGGGTTTAAGGTCTAGGGTTTAGGGTTTAAGGTTTAGGGGCGATAACGGCACCAAAAGCATCTGCAAACCCAGAGGGTAGCACCTCCTTGCTAGTAGGCTCATATGAAGCCATAATGGAGGCCATCCACGTATTGCAGTTGGCAGCGCCCGGTGCCACTTCACCCTTTTCCATTGATCTCAAAAGCACAGCGCCTTCTGCGCCTCGCGCCAGGCTCAAAACCAAATGTCGCATTTCACGGGCATACCAGCAATACACTGGAATGAAATCACCGTGAGACCCATAACTGTGCAGCTGATAGTTATGCCGCGAAGAAGGAGCCCAAGCGCGGACCGTAGGATTTAGGTCCACAGAGACTCAGAGAGCCGCTTCCCAAGAGACATTGGGTTTGCAGGTTACGGCTTAGGGATAATTATTCCGTTTTGGAGAAAAGCTGATTTTGTAAAGGGCGCCAGCGTCAACATCGAAATTGCGCTCGGCAAAGCTGGCGGATTGAAAGTTTGGGGTTTAAGGTTTAGGAGGTTTACGGTTTAGGCTTTACCTAAACCCCCCAAGTAGGTAAAATAATAGCCCAAAACCCCCTAAATGTAGCCCAAAAGGCCATTATTCTACATACTTTGGGGGTCCAGGTACAGGTTTAAGGTTTAGGGGTCTACCGTAATGCCTATTGTTTTGGGTATGTCCTAGCTCGCATTCCTAAGGTCTATACCTAAATCATGAAGCCGCGCGAGCAACCCTAAGCTTCAAACCCTAACCCCTAAATCCCAAACCCTAAACCCTGAAGCCCCAACCCTATAAATCCTCAAGCCTAAAGGCAAAACCCAGACACCTACACTCCAGCCTCTGCATCAGAAACCTCTGTACGTGCAAGTGGTGGGGATGCTTCAGTTTAGGGTTTAGGGTTTTGGGTTTTAGGGTTTAGGGTTTAGGGTTTTTGTCTCAAGTTTGGTGGGTTTCAGGGTTTAGGATTTCAAGGTTTTTTTTATCAGGGACTAGGGTTTAATATGTTAGGGATCAGGGATTAGGGTCTAAGGATATTCCTTAGGGATCCGAGTTCAGGGTCCAATTAGGATTTAGGAGTTGTGGTTACATTAGGGCTTTCTGTTTAGGGATGAGAGGGCGGCCGAGTAAGGGGTCCCAGTGTAGAAGATCTCATTGGACCTTACCGAGCCCTAGCAAAGGTCATAGGGAGTCATTGTTCTGAGTCCCCCGAATACAGGGCCCATTAAGACTGTGACCCTTTACTGGACACTGACAGATCTTGAACATCTACGAGCCGTTACCCTGAGGCCGACAATTCACATCTCCACCCTACATATCTCGAAAGATCCTCCCTGCACCCTGAAACTTAACCCCGAAGCAGGAGCCGCAAAGCCTATACTAAGGTTTAGAAGTTTAGGGGTTTAGGCCTTGGGCCTGTATACCGTAAACCTTTGAAGGTTTAAACCCCGTGAAGCCCTAGAATCAAAAGCCTCTAATTTGA